AGCGGGGATGACTGGGGGACAGGAGAGCAGGGTAGAAAAGCCTGCCCCACAGCCTGGCATCCTACCTCAAGCTCTTGAGAACTAGGACTCTAGCCCTCAAGGGGGAACCAACAGACCTGGGTCTGGGCTGTCACTTACTGCTCGAGGTCCAAGGGTCGCTGTGTCCTCAACTGAGCACCTGTCTGTGCTGGCCGGATGTTGAATCTTGCTCATGAGCAAGTGTAGTATGTGGAGGGTGAGGAAATCATTCCCACCCAAGGCCCTGCGGAGCTCAGATGTGTCACTGCAATTTAACACAAATTACATATGAGCTGTGGATACGTCTGTGATGTCATGAAGCAATAGGACATTGAAGCAAAGGCCCAGGGCTCTTCTGTTCTAGGACAGGGTTGGGGCACAGTGATGTTATCTGCCAATCCCATTAGGCACAATCCTGGAATTTCTGCGCAAATGCAGTAGGACATGGACTTTTACCAAGTCGTCCCAAAGGATCTGCAACTGACTTGAAACTCTGTGGGCTGTGCCAGGCTGTGGGATGTGTGTGTGCCACCAGGCACAAGAGGTAGGGAGTGGCAAGTACCTGTACATTGGCAGAGGCTTTCTAAGGAGGCTGCTGGTCACTGCCTCTAGATGGAAGCCAGCAAGAATGGAAACGCCTTCCAGCAGAAAGCCTCTCACAGACCTTTCCTGGATTGTCGGCATCTGGATAAAAATGGTGCCCAGGATGTCCAGCACTGGGAGGGAAGATAACAAGAACAAGGGCCCCTTTCTCAGTCAGCCAGCACAATCCAAACCAACCACTCCCACAGTTTGTCAATTTGCTACCATCTTAGAAATTCCTTGCTTTAAGAGACCAATGTCCCGACACTGCTGCCTCCGGTTGATCCTGAGAAGTGAGCACATCCCTATGACCCTACTTGGGGTGAAAGTGGACACCGCGACATATGCACAAACACCAACCATCCCACACACCCTCAGCCATTCCCCTGCCCATGTGCACACACCTACAATCTAATTGCATGTATTGCACAGGACTTATTTCTGCCTGACATTAACCCACATGCTCACACAGACACCCCAACAAATATCAATATCTGGGGGTGGTTTTAAGAAGCTAGTTTTGGCCTTTTGCCTGTGTGGATGCTCAGCTTAGGACCAACAAGCACAGCATGCCGTCCATTATGTTCCCCACCAAGTCAAGGGCCTGGCTGGATGGAAAGTATTTTCCAGTGACCTGGAGACAAATAGAAAGAAGGGAAACTGCACTGAACCCCAGAGTTCACGAGTGATATTAAAGAGTTGTGCTGTGCATAAGCTTCTGCCCTAGGATGACTTGGTGCATGTGCAAGAGGTGAATCCCGTGCTTGAACATTCCATCGGTCTTCAATGGAGAGAGCAACCCAACACGAACACTAGGGCTGTGCGAAGCTTCGGATGCTGATGCGATTTGGAGGAGATTCAGCCCAATTCGGTGGCTGAATCTCCGAATTGGAATCAAATCTGGGGACCAGTTAAAAGGTCTGAATCAATTCAAACCTCTCCAAATTGATTTGGAAAAAATTCAGAGAGCTTCAGCGATTTGAGCAGTTCATGCTGGCTGCAGCAGGGAACTGGGTCCGGACTCCATGCTGGTAAGTGGGGGCGGGGGAGCAGGGCCTGGAGGAGGTTAGGAGGGGACTATGAGGGGAACAGTGCCAGGCCCCATCCCCTGCCTGCTCCCCGAGCCCCCCCTCCCACGTGCCCCCCAACCCCTGTCCGCTGTCCCAGGCCCCCCCATGGCTGCCCCACCTGGCCCCAGCTCCCAGTTGTTTAAAAAAAAGCCCCTACTCACCGGGTGCTGCCCGTGTGATTCGGAGATTCGGATGATTCGGCAGCAGCTGAATCTCCAAATCAGATTCAGCCGAATCGATTCGGGACAGTGATTCAAATCACTGAATCGAATCACTGTCCCCTGAATCAGCCGAATCCAGATCCAAAGTGAATACTAGCCACTTCACACAGGCCTAAGGAACACAGTCAAGCTGCACCCCAGGATAAGTTAAAATAGGCACACAAGGAGACCAAGTCCTGGCTGAGGCTCTCACTTGGATGCTGTACTGACAAAGGTTTGTTCTTTTGTGCAGGGACAGAGCTATCTACAAAACTTTCTAATCTTGCTGTGACTTATTCTTTCTACCATGGACATGGGTAAACAGCAGCAGACAGTGGATGAACAATACGAGTCCCAGATGCCTCCCCCACGCACTCCAAAGAAAGAGATAAACCATGTGTGATGAGCAAAGGAATGGACAATGAAGGATGCCCAGTTCCCTGAGTCTCCACACCACGGCAGGCCTGTTCCCACAATCTCCTCTTCTTGACCAATGACCCACCTACTTGAGGGTCCTTCCCTCACCTGTGACCTCATGTTCCTCTCTCAGGAATAGCTGATCTCTGAAACCCTGCTCTAACACAGGCCAAGCAAGTCTCAATTTCAGAGAAGAATGAGCAGAGCAAGGAGAGAGAATGAGGAAGCCATGTCAGCACAGGGATTCCTTCCAGTTGGGGTGTTGTATGTCATTCCTTAAATGGCGACAGCTTGCTCCATAATTCATGGCCAGCATTGGCCATGATCTATCTTCATTACCCTGCCAATGCAGAGAATTGCCTAGTGGAGAGGTACAGGGGATGAAGAGACATACATTGATAATGCAAGAGCAGCAACTGGTCACCTACTTGGCTCATGCCACTGATTGAGACATCCAGATTTTCCAGGATCTCCACATAGGTGGCTCAGATGCTCTGTTCCTCCTCAGCATCCTGACTGGAATGGTTTTTGGACTTCTGCATAAGAGACAGAGAGAAAGCTCATGACTGCTAGTCAAGAGGCACTGACTGGACACTCAAGTTTCCATCTCCTTTGCTGCCTGCTTGATCGCTGCACAGTTACCACTGATTTTATGTTTTGCTCAGAGCACAACTCACTGGAGCTGAGATAAAAGAAAAACCAAGCTGGTGGGGCAGGTTCCCAGTTCAGAAACACCTCAAACACTTTGCAATGACTCGCTAGACACAAAGTGTTTCTGGGGCTTGGGAGTGGGTTATGTCTTGAAAACTGCCAAGTATTCACTTCCCTCGTCCTTCCAAGAGAACCCTTCAGATTCAGCCCAGTGGACACAAATGTGCAGGCATCACACCCCCACTCTTCTCCATCTGCTTTGGGGGCCCCGCCAGCTCAATCCTCTGAGTTCAATGTGATTCTGTCAATGGGCCAAGCCATGTCCTGGGCACCAAGACACATCCTTGGGACTCTGTTTCTACAAGAGAGCATTGCTTTTTCAAGGAAGTGTCCCTGAAAGACTGTGCAGTCAGGTTTTCACTCAGTGCCCGAAAGGACAAATCGGAGCCTCATCAGAAGATGTACATAGTCCAGGTTAGAGTCTGGTCTCACTGACACCCTGGGGAAAATCCAGAGGAGCTGCACTGACATCACAAGAGCTCCCTTAGATCTGTACCAGTGGAAATGGTCTGACCCTGGTTCTAATGACTCAGCCTGGCTGGCCTGGGGTATCCCATGCTCCTGTGCAAGCCAATGGCAGGCTTCAGCCTGCTAGGGCAGCAGCACCAAGTCTCCAGCCTCAATTTCTCTTACCAGTTGGCTGCTAGACAAGCTGGACTGCTTGAAAATATAGGCCACTAAATCCCAGGCAACGTCATCTAAGCCCTGCACATTAAGCAGTGTCCTTGGAGGATGGCCTTCTTCACCTGGAGGGGAGGAGAGGACAGACTGGAGTCAGGACTGCCCTTATGCCCAAATGGTGGAGGAGACCGGCCATGGCACAAACCCTCCCTCAAACCTTGGAAAGGATGACAGGGAGGGAGAAGGGTCCCCAGGCCTCCAATTTTATTTCTAGAGTTTATAAAGAGGCAAGAGAACAATGTGTTTTTGCTACTTAGTAGTCCCCTATTGGCATATGAGGGAAAGCAGATCCTCTCCCCACTGGCAATCTGATAACGCTTTCCTAGATCCTGACTCGCCAGCTCTGGAAGCAGAGCAGCAGACTCTGCACTGCCTTCCCTGAAGACGCTGACATGGGGAAAGGTTTTCTCTACCAGAGAACCAAGAATCTCGGGTGGGAATTTTGTGTCAGGTCCATGTGCCATCCCCAGCACAGCCACTACACACAAATCACCTCACCTCAGTACTCGGATCACCAAGAGTGCACCTCATAGCCTTGACTAGCTCACATTTTTTCTTGCTCATCTCCTGCACTGGAAGGAGAAGGAGGGCACAATATTGCTGTGTTCTGGGAGCTTACCCTCCATAGCAAGATACACTCAGATTGCAAGAGATCTGCTCGTGGCAACCTGCACAACTTCCTGTCTTTACTTTGCAACCTGGAAAAGTCTCTTGGGCCGTTACAAAGGTCTTGTTAAACATTTTGACTTCAGAGTACTGCCAGAAAAGGTGTCCGAGCGGGATTTGGCCCCAGCACTCCTGTGTCATCCAGCGGGACTGAGGGTGCTACTGGCCCTCTGTGACCGAGCAGCAGAGGACGTAGGTCTGGCTCTAGCTCTACACAGCCAGGGCTCTTGAGCACAGCTATAGCAGAACAGGTTATTATCCTGGACAGTCCTAACTGAATTCCTGAAGGGTCATTTCCCAAGCCAAGACAGCAGTCAACACGTTTGCTCTGGTCATACTTCCAGTCAGCAGCAATGATGCCACTAAAGATGGAGAGGGATGCCACATGGCTTGCCTTCTTGTCGGTCTTGAGCTGGGAGTCCACAAGGGAAATAAATTGGTCTGGGGAGAGACAGGCTGCAGGGGAGAAGAGCGCAACCTCAGTGACCTCAGCACTCCTCGTGCTCATTCCCCCTTCCAGGGCTTGGCAGAGTGCAGGGAGTTTCGAAGGAAAGCCCCGTGTCACTTGGAGTCTCCTCTCCTTACCAAGTAGGTGGAGACAGTAGAACACCTTGACCTGGTTCTCTGATCTCGGCAGCTGTGCGATATCACACACCTGTGGGAAGAAAGGCAGGGATTCTCCACAGTCCCATCTGGGTGCAGGTGAAAGTGTGGAATGGATCCTGAACTCCCACTGTCTGAGTTAAACCAGAGTCTTTTTGAGTCCCAGGTCACATCACTGCAATCACAGCAAGAGCCAAGAACTCAAAGGTCCAGGCCATAAGCAAGAGGGGATTCCGATTTCCAAGTTCCAGTAGCAGCACGGCTGCTTTTGGCTGGACTCACACCACAGGGTTGATTCTTCTGGTCCTGACTCCCTATGACAAAGGGATTTACATGGACCTCCCCAGCAGTGAGTCGGACTGAGGGGAGACAAGGAGGCCACCACCTGTTTTCTTCTTGGGCAAGCAGAGAGGTTGCCAGCAGAGTAGGGACCTGAAAATCATAGGCCACCTCCAAGATCTGGCCTAGACTCTTCAACAGAGGGTGGAAGTCAAAGGGAGGGTTAGAGAGGAGAACCATGGAGTGAGCAAGAGCAGAAAATTGGTGAGTGAGAAAAAATACCTCACTGCCTCATGCTTAGTGCTTTATTGCTTTGGTGCTGGAAGTTTCCACATCTGCAACTCTGACCACACCACACTGTGCTGTTTGGACCCCTGCCCGGTCCCCTGAATACACTCCACCTGGATTACCACTCTCTGGAGATTCATATTCCTTCCAAAGGATGCCAGGAGGAGAGTGGGTCCCACAGCCCACGGGTGTCATAGGCCCCAAAAGTGACCGCACAGAGTCAGGACCAGCCAGCATCTGCCCACACAGCCCCAGGGACACGGGACAAGGAAGCACAGAGCTGAAGTGGGATTCTCCCCTCGGGTAAACCTGTGCTGCCACGGGGGGCTGCCCAGGTGCAAACAAAGACAGAGCGCAGCCTGTCTCACCCAGGAGAGACATGCTCCACAGGCAGTGGGGTGGTAGCCATCCACTCCTATAGCCCATAGCAGGGAGCCCCAAATCTCCATGTTTTAAACTGCCGGCCCTGACTATAGTCCCTGCACTCCACAAGAGATAACCTCTGATCCTCCCTGCCCTGTGGAGCTTTGAGAGGCCAAGCCAGGAGGGAGCAGAGCAACACTCAGTTGGAAGGAGCGGTCCGGTAGTTCATTTCTTTTGTCTCCCCATATCAGACTTCCCAGAAAATGGAAGCGGCATTCCCAACAGAGCCGTGATCTACAGACCCAGCTGCTGTGAGTTTAGCCCCCAAGGGTAGGCGAAGCCAATCCATTAAGGAAAGCCCCAAGAGAGCTACGGAGTTCCTAGGGCAAGTTGTACACACACACGTGTGCCAGTACGCACACCCACGCGTACATACAAGGGCCAGTGCTGGTTTCCCAGGCGGCATCTCACCATGGTGACATGAAGATTGTCAAGCCCTCCCTCGTACTGCTGCAGGAGACGGGAGCTTATCAAAAACAGTATCGCGATGCCTCTTATGGTGGAGAGGGAGGCCCATCGCGGGTCCCAGCGCCTTGACCACAGCCTGCTGCAGCTGCAGAGAGGGAAGTCCCTCTGACAGACTTTCTGGGAGGTTGCTCTGGATCAGGAAGAGGCACAGCTTTTCTCCTTCTCAGGTCAGCAGCATCCTTGGTCCATCTCTGGACCAGCACTGTCTGCATCGTTCCCACCTATGGCAGCTGGGAGGGATCATGGGATATGGCCCTGGGGCTGGCTCATGGATCACATCTCCCCGCTCTGCTGATGTGCCCAGATTCATGTGCAGAGAGAACAAACCATCCCCCTGTGCACCAAAGGAGCTGCCCCCTATCTCAGTGCTCACTGGCACCCATTAGCGCACAAAAGTGCACATTGCCTGTGGGCAGAGCAGATTCTCAGGCACACGATATGAGGCCCTGGGATTCTCCCCTCGGGTAAACCTGTGCTGCCACGGGGGGCTGCCCAGGTGCAAACAAAGACAGAGCGCAGCCTGTCTCACCCAGGAGAGACATGCTCCACAGGCAGTGGGGTGGTAGCCATCCACTCCTATAGCCCATAGCAGGGAGCCCCAAATCTCCATGTTTTAAACTGCCGGCCCTGACTATAGTCCCTGCACTCCACAAGAGATAACCTCTGATCCTCCCTGCCCTGTGGAGCTTTGAGAGGCCAAGCCAGGAGGGAGCAGAGCAACACTCAGTTGGAAGGAGCGGTCCGGTAGTTCATTTCTTTTGTCTCCCCATATCAGACTTCCCAGAAAATGGAAGCGGCATTCCCAACAGAGCCGTGATCTACAGACCCAGCTGCTGTGAGTTTAGCCCCCAAGGGTAGGCGAAGCCAATCCATTAAGGAAAGCCCCAAGAGAGCTACGGAGTTCCTAGGGCAAGTTGTACACACACACGTGTGCCAGTACGCACACCCACGCGTACATACAAGGGCCAGTGCTGGTTTCCCAGGCGGCATCTCACCATGGTGACATGAAGATTGTCAAGCCCTCCCTCGTACTGCTGCAGGAGACGGGAGCTTATCAAAAACAGTATCGCGATGCCTCTTATGGTGGAGAGGGAGGCCCATCGCGGGTCCCAGCGCCTTGACCACAGCCTGCTGCAGCTGCAGAGAGGGAAGTCCCTCTGACAGACTTTCTGGGAGGTTGCTCTGGATCAGGAAGAGGCACAGCTTTTCTCCTTCTCAGGTCAGCAGCATCCTTGGTCCATCTCTGGACCAGCACTGTCTGCATCGTTCCCACCTATGGCAGCTGGGAGGGATCATGGGATATGGCCCTGGGGCTGGCTCATGGATCACATCTCCCCGCTCTGCTGATGTGCCCAGATTCATGTGCAGAGAGAACAAACCATCCCCCTGTGCACCAAAGGAGCTGCCCCCTATCTCAGTGCTCACTGGCACCCATTAGCGCACAAAAGTGCACATTGCCTGTGGGCAGAGCAGATTCTCAGGCACACGATATGAGGCCCTGAGACTGGGTCTTCCCTGCCAGGACTGCACAGGTAGGCAGACACAGTGACACGTGACAGCTGTGCTGCAGAGTTAGAAAGACAGCAGCCCTTGCCTCTGGGTCCTTGCTGCTCAGCCAGCTGCTGCTCATGAGGTTAAGGAAAGGGAGCACACAGAAACAGTAGTCGGCTGCCTGACAGCTGGGGAATGGGCTCTCGTCCCTGATCTGGAATTTCATATTGGCAGCCCAGGCAAAGCCTTCCACAGCTGCAGAGAGGGAGAAAAGATAAGACATTTGCACAGGAACATTGGAGCGAGGAGGGCTGCTGCAGCAGGACATGCAGGCCTGGTGGTCATGACAATGTCCCGGCAGCCCCCGCGCTGCTCAGGGCAGATGGAGAATTTGGGACAGGTGGAGCAGGCACCAGGGGCTACAACTAGGATTCAGTCTGCTCCATTTGCCCCAGAACCTCGAGGCAGCTCCAGCCTTGGTGACAGCTCCTGGGAAATACGCTGCAAGAGTCATAAAAGGCCCAATCCTGCTCGCTGCTCAGAGCCTCCAGCCAGCCCAGGGAGGGAGGGTTCTCCACTCAAGGTTGGATCAGGTGCAGGAAGCACAGTGGAGACCCTGCTTACCAGTGTGGGACACTCCAATGGGGCCCAGGCTCTGTGGTAGGCCCTGGGTGCCTGCTGGGGGCACCTGCAGGAGGGGCTGGCATTCACCTCCACACAGCGCCGGCTTCATGTAGTTGATCTCCACCAAGCCTCAGCACAAAATGCAATTTGCTGAGTGTCAGCATGAGGAAGGGCTCAGTGCTGCAGGAGGAGGATACATTGTGCAGTTAGAGACATTCCTGTCCACCTTCATCCCTCGCTCTCAGGAATGAGCTGGGTGAGCAGCATAAAGGGGCTTTGAAGATGTCAAAGAAACCCCACAGTGACCTTCCCTATGTAGGGCAATCCTCTGTCTGCTGCCATTCCCATGCCCAGATGCAGGGGAAGAGGAGGGAGTGAAGGGTCCTGTCCACCTGATCTCCACTCCTTCCTGTCCTGAAGGCCCTTCCAACTGTTACAGAAATTAGTGCTGGCACCTTAAAGCCAGGAGCCAGACTCTTCGGGCCCCAAATCCAGCTCAGTTGTGACGGCCCATTGGACAGAGTGGTATTTATCCCCTCCCTCTGCAATCCCTGATCAGAGCTCAGGAGCAAGGGAGGCACTGCTGTGCCACAGGCTGAGGCTAGGTTGCCCTGTGTAATCAAGAAGAAAATTGGAGGGAGCTCCATGATGCCCACGTGACTCTGCAGCTCATACATCACTCAATTGTAAAAGGTGCCGGCAAGTGCCACGAGGGTTTTTCCTGCAGTCAACTGCAATTCATCATTTCTTGCTAGAATAAAAAAAGAAAACTGGAGCAGATGCCCGACGCACAGTTTATACAGCAGTAGGTCAGGCTGGGGATAAAGTTGCCTCCTCTGAAAGGGAGTGAGAACGATGCACTAGCCTCAGCTTCTCCAGTGGCCCCGTGTCTGGCCATTCCCTTAAGTCCATTGCATCCTTGGGTAACCCTTGGCTCCTAGCAAACTGTCTCCCCCACCACCTACCAGCCACACACTGTAATAGCTGTTCCTGAATTCACTAAGTCCCCCTAATAATTCCTTGCATGAGTTCCCTTACTCATAAATGCCAACTGAAACACTTGGATGAACAATATTTCGGCTCTGGTTGGCTGGCCAACTGCAGAATTCACCTGGGCTGTAGGACAGCTTCAGCATGGACAGGAAACTTCTTGGACTATGCTGTCCCCAGTAAAGCACCTATGCACTCTGGTCTTTCTCAGCAGAGGAGCTGCCCCATGTTTCAGAGGAGCTGAACACTGGGCTGGATCGTGTCTGTGCAGGAGATCTGTCTTAAGCAAGGCTCCAGCCTCTAACCAGGGTCCATGCAAGAGATACACCATAGGCTCAAGCTACATTGGACCAAACAAAGTAGGCATAGACTAAGGCCTTGTGAGGAGAAACTGGGCAGAGCTCACTCAACTGGGTGTCCCTCATGTCTTCGGTGGCCACATGGATGATCCCCCTGACAAGGCTCCTATCCAGGCCCTTTGTGTCCCCCTGCAAGACTTTCTCCAGGCTGGAGTAAGTGGTTACTCTTGTCTCCTGGGAACACACACAATGGGCTTCCTTTGGGATCAGTGCCAGGTCATCCAGGACTGTGATGTTGGACGTCAGCTACCCAGGGGTTGTTCTACAGCCACTCTAAGGGGGGACTTGCTCCCTGGACAGGAACACAACCAGGGTGTCTTAGGTTTGTTCTTTCATGCAGATGTTCACAGCTGGCACTAACAAGGGAGGAGTATCAGGCACTGTGAGGGCACAATGTAACTGTGGCCTTGTGAGCTTGGAAAGCTTCAGCTGTCTGGCCCAGGAAGTGAAGTGACTTGCTGTCCCCCAGCAAGTCAGGAAAAAAACTGGGAATACAGCCAAGGGTGCTGAGTCTCTGGCTAGACGCTGGGCAACACTCGTTCCCCACCTGATTTGCTGTCATCCAAGTATGACTCCGCTGGGTTAGGGGAACCTGGTTCACAAATATTTCAACTCCTTTCTTCATTCAGTAACAGAATTAATCACACAATGGTTTTTTGTACCTTTAATAGCAGAGGAGGAATGGAAAAGGCACAGCAGATGGGCAAGGACCAGGTTTAGTTGGAAATGCTTAGAGCAGCTGCGTGATACAGAGCCACTGCCCTACCTCCTCCTGTTGGAGTCTCTCCAGCAGAAGGCTCACAGTAATGTCAGGCTCCACATCTGCCTGCCCAAACCCTGGGCCAGGATTGCCCTGAGCTTGCTCCATCAGGCATCTCCCTGCCGAGGCATCACTGGTGGAAAAACCTGCAATGGAGGAAAAGGATTCCATTGATTTCCGTGTGAGAAATCACATTGGTCTCGTTCATCACCACCCACTAGCGGCTCTCCTGGAGCCAAACTCTGTGGCCTGGCTGCAAAGGAAAGGTTTCCTAGCACAGCAACAACGGGAGAGCTCTCCAGGCCACCCTCCTGGGCTGAGGCAGCTGGTACTGCCAAAGAGGCACTTTCCTTAGTGCAACTTAGTTCTGCCAAAAAGCCCTTCTTTGTCAGCAGGATGGAGATGATGCTCTGGTGTCGGCCAGCATCAGAGGGTAAAAATCTATAATCGTCAGTCCCGTGTGCAATGGCCACAGCTGTACCAGCCAAAGGGGCGACAGTGAACCTGGTCAGGGAGAAGAAGATGTGTCTTCCCCTTTCTCCTGCTCTGTTATGCTAGAAGATTTGCTTGCAAAATAGCCCAGCCAGTTGGAAGGGGACATTACTGTGACATTTGTTTTCAGGAATATAAGGGAAAGTCATGCAGGCAATAACAATTCTTTTCTCCTTGACAATTAGTTGGAGAATTGGGATCATACACCCAAAATGATGGTTTAGGGCCAAAGTTTTTGAAAGCTAGGTTGCCTATACACATACCGGGGTGGAAAGCAGCTATTTAAATTAGAGTGGTTCCCCAAGAGTCACTCTAATTAAAACGGTTCACCGTCGCCTGTATTAAGCACCCCATATTTTAAAATGGCCATTAGAGCACTTTAACTAACGCTTATTGAATAAGCTTTAAAGCACCCCCACATCCATTTTAAAATGTGGGAGAGGGAGGCTTATTACACATGACAGTGAGTCAATGCTGGAGGGTTTTAATTAGAATGTGGAGCAGACTTGATTCATTGAGCCTGCTCCAATGTGCTCTAATTAGAACACAAACCAGCATGTCTACAGGCTGCCCTAGTGCTTCGCTTAGGTAATGTATACAGAGATACCTCGCACCACCCACCTGGCTGCAAGGGGGACAGGGTCAGAAATACTTCGGGGATGGAAGGAGCCCTTTTCCAGAACATCAAACACAGTCTCTGATGATTGGAGGCATGTCTGTTCAGTGTCCTGCCCTGGTATCAATCACCCAAGCTACAGTCCAGGCCACCACGTAACACTGGTTTGCACAACTGAAAATCTGGCTCTAGAAAAGCTGGTTTTAGCTAATCCACCTCTTCCTCGTGCTTCCGAGAATGGGTGTGGGACCCATGGAGAACACCATGGGGATCTTACCTCTGCCGAGTCGTTTCAGGTCGATGACTTCCCTTGTTCAAAGTTGGCTTAAACAAGCTTTCCTTCTCTCATGTGCTGAGCAGCTCCTGTCCGGAGCCACTCAAGCTGCCAGGTCCAGGACCCAGGAAAGAGGTGATGTAAGCACCACTGTGACAGCTACATGGCCACGTCTTACCTCATTGGTGGCTGCTGACCCATGAGCGGCTGTGTATCGTGTAAGCTTTCACTGGGCTGCATAAGGCTCCAGACATAAGTATCCCCAGAGGAGGCTAAGTTTGTTCTAATGTAGAATATTTTAGTCCCTCAGATCACCTGGGAGTTTCCCGTCTTCTCCAGGTGTGCTGTACCTTCCAGCACTGATTGAGTATTTGAATCTGCCCATGGTTGAATTTGTAAGAAATAAAAACAGATAGGAACCAGGAGAAGCTTCCTCTCACTTGCTAGTTGTTTGGCCTCCTTTGTTTTTGCATCTTGTCGTCCAAAAGGGCTTGTTGAAGCCCTCAGATGTTACAGGACTGGGTTGCAACCATCTTGTCCATCCAGCCCACCAAATGCACCCTGCCCACATGGGTCCTGGGCCTGTCTACATGGAGGCCCCACCGCCCCCTCCGTCCAGTGCCCCCAGGGGTGGTGCAAGGTGGACGGCTGCCATGAAATCTACTCGAGAAGTCGATGATTCAGGACTTTAAAACTTGGCCCAGTGGGAATCTCACACACGTCTCATGAGGTAGAAAATCTGTTTATAAAGGTGCTCTTGTTTCCCTCCCACATCACTGCCATATCCCCTAAACGTTAGTTATTTAACTCATACACAACCCCTGTCCGACTGACTACGATCGCTATTCTCAACTAGCAGATGAGGATGGAGAGGCAGAGAGAGAGTAAGTGGCGGGTCTAGAAGACATGCTGGTGCAGGGAACTGAACCGAGACCTCGAGTCCCTTTTCAGAGACCTCTGATGTGTCAAACTCTCACTGCAGAGGGTTTGCTCTCGCTTTTCCTGCGATGCCTGTAATTCATGGAGGGGGAGGGAGCTTTTACCGATGATACTAGAATGGTTGCCTGTCCTGCTAAATGAATAGGTGTGATTAAGTGCAGCGTGTGCCTGCGTACACTGGAGGACATGCAGGACAAGTAAAATACATAAGTGACTGGAGGAATTGTACAAGATTGTGGAGCTGTTATATTTTTATGTGACTGCACCATCTGGCTTAATCAGGCTCTTTGCTTCCTTCAAAACACAGTGAGAGGCTGACACCCTCTTTGCACAGGGCTACCTGCATGAGCACTTTTCTCTGAACTTAGCAACAGCAAGGTCTGTGATCTCGGGTGCGCTATGTCTCAATTCCATATCAGGGACGTTACACCAAATTTTGCCCCGCTATTAAGGCTGGCTGTGCAGCATCTTACAGGGTGCCGAGCACAAACATCAGACTTCTAAAATAGTACCTGCTAGTGGCAGGTCAGGCATACAGCACGTGCGGCAGTTCCCCCGATTATTGCATGCTTCTGGCTTGAACTTCAGAAACGGACATCACCTTTCACTCCTGCTGCAAGTGCTCAGTCCCTCTGAAAACTAGGCCATAAACTTAACTCCTTCTATAAAGAAATGGGATCTCTTCCATGTGCAGTTTCCTCTTAGCTCACGCTCTCTCCTCAGATTTAAAGAAGGAAGGAAGTCTGGTTTGGTACCTGGGGCTATGATTCCCCTCTAGAGAAACTGGATTAAGACTCTCAGTTCACTTCGCACAGACCTCTGGGGCCAGGTGTCAGTGCAACAATACTCTGGAGCGCCAATCTCATTCAGAGCCTTGTTGTTGCTGTCTCTAGTCATAAAAGACATGAGGTACAGTGATACGGGAGGATGAAAGGCTTGGCATGCAGTTAACCAGCTCCCACATCAGCTCCCATATCATCTGATCTGCCCTTTGGCTCTCCCAGCCCTCAGAAGTATTAAAGGCCTCCATTAGTACCCTGCTGTCCTTTCCTCCTTGCGAACGGGAGGTCAAAGGCAGCGCACGAGCTCCCACCAAAGGCAATACATCCTACACATGTGCTACTGGCAGTTCTCTCTTATTTAGTAGTTTCATTTGTCCGTATTTCCTTTATTGGACTAGAACAGTAACCAGTTCCTTTGACCTGGAAATATAAATAAAAGTGCAAGGTCTCACCATCAGCCACTTGGCCTGTTTCCTGTCCCCCGACCTTATGTAGTTCAGTGAAGCTTTGACTTTGCTCTGATGGATGGGCAGGCTCCAGGCCCTCCCCCCGGCATGGGAACTGCAGTCACTGACCGCAGATAGTGTCCAGGGAGGAGAGACAGGAGATGGAGTACTTAGAATATCTCAGACCAAGGCTGCAGGCTTCCCCGGGTGTGTAGAGGTGCCCTCAGTCGGGCTGGCTGGACAAATGCAAACACGCAGTTGTCTATCAATCCATGGCAGCACTGAGCTGCTCTGCTCAGCGAGACGAATTTCACCTCCAACACGTGTATTTTTATACAAACCAAAAGAAAGCAGTTTTCCCTGCCCAAGTGCAGGAGAGCTGGACCCGATGATCTTGTAAGGTCCCTTCTAGCCCCTAACATCTATGAATCTATGAAAAAATAACAAACATAAACACAACATATATTTTTGGCCTTGATTTTTCCTCTCTGTCCTGACACAGGGTGACCATGAGTTTCTCCCCATCCCATGAAAGCAAACATGGCAAAATGTCTGCAAAGGAGGCAAATTTCAACCCTTACTTTTGCCACCAAGGAGGGGGAATAACTTCACAACCCCAGGTGTGCACCTGGTGGTGGATCAGCTTGGGTCCCAAACCACATGTGACTGAAACCTGCCACGTTGCCAGCATGGGCTGGTTGTTTCAGACTTTGCTTTTTCTGATACACCAGTGTTTTTACAGAGAGATAATTAACACACAGTCCATATCTCACCATAAATACCTATGGGATGGTAAGGCACCTGCAGCGTTTGCTGCAAGGGAGACGTGTGAGATCATCACCGTGTACCTTGCCTACGTTTGAATTTGCCCTATTTGACCTGCAGTACAATCACAGTGCCTTATGGCCACAGGGTTTCTGCAGCAGGATGGTGAGTGGGTGTTAGCTACCTGCAGTGAAAGCACACCTTTTTTGCAATTGGAGCTGTAGCACCTGAGAGAACAGACATTAATAGAAGCTACCCTGTCTGGGTAGTGATGCACAAACAGGCACAGGCACAGGCACAGGCTTTCATTCCTCCCCGTGATGCCATCAGTTTCTTGACATATAATTCACCTGCTGATAGCCCTGGAATTTAAGCTTTTGGTAGTTCTTTTCCTCCACGGTCCCATGCTTTCCCCATGTCCCAGCTTCAAAAGTCTCCCTTAACATGGTGGCCGGAGGTGGCGTTCCTCCTGCTGAGTGCATGGCCAGAAAGTCTGTCTCGCTGTCACAGTCACTTGAAATGTCCTCGTCCTCTGCAAACTGTAAAGTCTGAAGGGTGACGTCCTGGGGAGGGAGCTCACTGGAGTCCTCAGAGACTCGTACTTTCAAGGAAGCTATGTGCTCAGGGAAGGGAAGCCTCTCTGGGTCAGGGTCAAAGTGGCCCCTTGCGGGGAGATGTGGGTCCTCAGAGAAAGGGTTAAAACGAAGACCCTCTGTCGGCACAGTCACCTGAAGGAAGGCCTCTTGTTGGCACCTGTCCACGTCCACATTACGCTGCTCGTATCCGTCCGTTGGACGTCTGGAGCGTCCCAAGGAGGAGCAGTCTGAAAGGGAGGTTTTCTCGCTGTCTTGGAACCCCGAGGTGTCCTCCTCAGTCTCCCTCCAGTCACGGCGAGAGAACCCACACCCTGCAAGGTTGGGCACAGACCCTCCGTCCAGCTGGGAGACTCCTGATTCAGAGCTCGACTCCAACCCTTTCTGACTCACACCGGGCGCTCGGCAGTTTGGGCCTCTCTTTGGGAACCAAGGCTTTTCAATGTAGGGTGTGAAACTGCTGTCGTCCTCCTCCTCCTCCGACAAGGAAAGGAGAGAAGCGGCTGGTGATACGTTGTTTCTGGCTGAGGGATTGTTCCTCCTCTTCTGCAACTCCAGCTTTAGTGTGGATATAAGGAGCTCCTCCACGAAGAATTCTTCCTCATTAGGCTTCTTCTCAAGAACCAATGGCAGAGGCCTCAGATAGGAAAAATCCTAGTGGAGAATGAGATTTGCAGGTTAGAAGGATGTTTTTTAGTTTGAGTGAGGTTTTTTAAAGCCAAGGCAATGCGTGTGCGACATGCCAGCATCACAGCCTTAGAGAATGACTCCGATCATGGACCTATCGGTACTGGAGCCCCAGCGGGCTACAGTGCAGTTATGCTAATTTACATATATGCAGAGTACCCAGCGCAGGGCGGCTCCTCTCTGAGCAAGGCTGCCCGCTGTTCCAGCAATGCAAATGGCAAGGAGTACGCTGGAGCATCCTATCTGACTGGCTCACCCATTCGAAGTGCCAAGCATCTTCACCTCCCTGTCCCCCTTTGCTATTAGGAAAACATGCAGGGGCTTAGCAGCAGGATTAGATCCCCATCATCCCCAATCTTTTCATACCAAAGCTTGAGGTGTCTTCACGCTTTTAGCAAGTTCTTTGCACAAACAGTTGAGGAAACCACTGGCAAGAAGGAGGAGGAACAAGGGGACAACAATGACAAGCAGGAGTTTCCAGTCCACTCCTACAAGAGAGAATGCCACAAAACAGTTTGGTCACTGTAGACAGACGTTATAAATGATAATCCTCAGCTCTTACATGGACTTTTCCTCCGGAGATCCCAGGCAATAGCAGTAACACTTCCTTCGTTTGGCAAAGGCACAGGGAGGTGAAGGGACTCATTCAAGATCACCCAGTAGACCAGTGGCAGAGCCAAGGCATCCTTACTCCTAAACCAGTACCCTGCCCAGCACTGGCCAAAAAGTGGGATCCTTCTTCAGAGGAAATTTTCATTTTTCCTGAGAACTCTGGATGCCAAAAATGTTCAGCCTCAAATCAGATTATTTTAGCTAAACTATTTCTTTCACCCTGGAGAGTTCAACTTTTTGGATGCTTATGTTTCTGATGAAAAATTCAAATGTTTCAAAGAAAGCAGATACTTTTCGGGGGGGTGGGGAGTGGTGGGGAAAGGAGGGGAACCTCTCTTTCAGAGAAAACTCAATTTTTCTGGTGAAAACCAGTTTAGATGGAAAATTTTCAAGCAGCCATAATCCCACCCAGTGGCCAACTGTGCCTCTGAAAGCCTTGCTCCCGAGCCATACCTTTGGGGTTCAACAGCACACACACTGGCCTGGAGAACTCGCTGTGTTTCAGGTCAATGACTTCGAAAGAAGTCCGAGCACTCAGGCAGTAATTGCCACTGAATGCCGTGGTGTTGATCTCCACGTTTTGCAACTTCCTCTTGCCCTTGTACTGCTTCTGCTCCAAAACAAAGAAAGGAGAGGGTTGGGAACAGCGGGGGATCCCTGCTCAGATTTGGGAGGTGTGTTAGGATATGCTGCAGTCATGCCTGAATATGGATCCTGTTTCTCAACCCGCAGCCCCCACTGAGCTCTGCGCTGCTGTGCCTATGCTGCCATCTGTGCCTAGTTTCAAGCTAGCTAAGACACCTCCAGGGGTTACTGAAGGCACTTCCGTAGGGCATGCAGGGAATGTAGAAAGAAGGTCCTGCATCACTAGGGGGTCCATATGGGACAATGTGATATTTGCCCCCCACTCCTCCCCCTCAATCAATCATAAGAGCTTCCATTAATCAAATAAACTTATTTTAGGGCAGTTTTGCTGTCTGCTAGGGCTTCCTATTTCATAGCTGGTGCCACTCCACCTCCCTGCCCCATGCCCCATTCCCCGCGCCCAGACACCTGTTTTAATTTCCACCAGCTGGCTGGGACTGGTCTCCAAAATCCAGAAATGTCCCAGCCAAACCTGGATGTATGGTCACCCTATGAATCACCCTCAGCTGGCTACTTAGTCAAGCAAGAGCAACACTAGAGGCCATTTCAGCCTTAGAGACAGGGATGAACTAAAGCCCATATCCAATCCTCCCCACCTTTGGGTCTGGTCCCAATCCCTGATGCAGCTTGGCTTAGTTCTTTCTACATCTAATGCAGCTTGGCTTAGTTTGCCAACCTTGTCATTGGATCCAGCTTCCCAGAACTCCAAGTCGTACTGCAGGGTTTGAAACTTATTCTTCAGGCAGGAGGCCAGGGGGAAAGTGGCATTGACAGTCATTAAGTTTTCCTTTACTTTCACTCCCAGGACCGGAGGAGCCAGCTCCACTGTAATTGAGAAAGCGGGTGTCAGAGCAGTGCTCGCTTGTGGACTGGAGTGCAGCTAAAAGCTGTCCTCTGAAAAAGGCCACATAGAAATCTCCCGTAGACAAGGCAGCCTCATCCTCTCGGATGGATTCTGACAGTGAGAGGTCCATGCTCTAACTACCTGATTTGGGGGCTGCAATAGCCATTACCTCATGATGAACCTGATGGGCAACTCTTGGTCCTCCACCATCCATCTGACATGTCCCAATAAGCACTCTCCTGTATCGGTGTGGTCTGAGACACATCTAGCTGTGCAGGGCCTGTGACCGTACTGTCTGTTCTCATGAGGGTCTCATGCTGAGCCCATCACTAGGGTCTCGCTGCACCTAAGAAATCCTAAAAGTATGGTCTGGACCTAACCTAGGTTCTCCCTTCAGTCCCATGAGCAGCTGGTGTTGTGCAGAGCTTCCTATCTCTCCTCTGAGCCTTCTGAGTGTCTTTTCAGGTGGCAACACAAACACCTTCCCTGCCTCACCCAGAAACACAAATATGCGTGGTCTTTGACCTGGTTTCACTTGCCCTGATCATAACAGATTAAACATGAAGTGCGTGCAGCTGTGTGTAATATCTCTGAAGTGAAATGTCTCCATCCTTTGTAAATCAGGTGTGCCCAAGAAAGAAGGTCCTAGTGAGTGGAGGAAAGGGCTCAGTGCCCAGTAAACCTGAGTTGTAGTACTGCTGCTGGCACTAACTTCCCTTCCAGCTGAACCCTGAAACCTCTCTGTGGCTTCCAGTTTCCTTATCTGTAACCTGCAAATATTAAGGCTGGAGTTGCAGAGCTGTGTGGGCAGAATGAAAGTTCACACTCTCTTAGTGCCACAGGATCAGCAAGGGGTTCAGCCAAACCGTAGAGCAACAAACGTACCATCAAAAAGATGTTCGATGTATCCTGACTCTGCCCAGGAGGACTGGCGTCCAGCCGACAGGGCTTTTACTCGGGTCCTGTATTTTGTGAATGAGTCTGACAGCACACAAGTCAGATTGCAGATGGTTTCAGAAATATTTTTGCAGTGTGCGACCTTTTTCAAGTGATTTCTGTCTCCCCAGCTGAAAGAAGAGGCAAAACCAACCCAGAGTCAAGCACATAATAAAACAGGTTTTAATATGGGGAGAGGAGGACAGAAGTAGCGCTATATGTGGCAGAGGGCTTAGAGCATAACTCTCACGTTTGTCTATCCTAAGGGATGAGGTGGGTAAAGGGATGCAGCCAGTGCACTAGTAATGATTATAAAGGTTTTAATAATAATAACAAGAAGAAGAAGAAGAAGAATATAATAATGGTATGTATCAGCATTATTATGTTTATATTAGTGTACTTAGTATTAAATATAACGTAATATGTGATTAGTATGCTGTATTGAGATATTCTATATTAATAATATATACTAATATAAACATAGTGATACTGAAAGGTATAGTTATATTAACCATTATAATTTTATATTAACACATAATTATATTAACAAATATCCCTGAGAAGGCTGGCCTAGTGGCCTTGGCTTTCCAGCCAGAAAGGAAGTGGTGAAGGCATGAACCTGGGACTCAAGCAAGCTGAGTTAACTTCCCAGTTCTGCCACAGACATCCCGAGTGGCCATGAGTACATCTCCTGGTCTCTCTGCACCCTGGCTCCTTCTGTCCTTGGACCCATACTGTTCAACATCTTCATTAATGATGTGGACACTGGAGTCAGAAGCGGACTGGCCAAGTTCGCCGATGACACCAAACTTTGGGGCAAAGCATCCACACCAGAAAACAGGCGGGTGATCCAGGCTGACCTGGACAGGCTCAGCAAGTGGGCGGACAAGAATCTGATGGTGTTCAACGCTGATAAATGCAAGGTTCTCCACCTTGGGAAGAAAAACCCGCAGCATCCTTATAGGCTCGGCAGTGCTATGTTGGCTAGCACTAAGGAAGAAAGAGACTTGGGGGTCATCATTGACCACAAGATGAACATGAGCCTGCAATGCGATGCGGCGGCTAGTAAAGCGACCAAAACGCTGGCTTGCATCCATAGATGCTTCTCAAGCAAATCCCGGGACGTCATTCTCCCCTTGTACTTGGCCTTAATGAGGCCACAGCTGGAGTACTGCGTCCAGTTTTGGGCTCCACAAGTCAAAAAAGATGTGGAGAAGCTTGAGAGAGTCCAGAGAAGAGCCACGCACATGATCAGAGGTCAGGGAAGCAGACCCTACGATGACAGGCTGAGAGCCCTGGGGCTCTTTAGCCTGGTAAAGCGCAGGCTCAGGGGTGATCTGATGGCCACCTATAAGTTTTTTCTTTACTGTCCAAGCCCCCAAGGTCTGGAACAGCCTGCCACCGGAGGTGGTTCAAGCGCCTTCATTGAACACCTTCAAGAGCAAACTGGAGGCTTATCTTGCTGGGATCCTGTGACCCCAGCTGACTTCCTGCCCTTTGGGCAGGGGGCTGGACTTGATGATCTTCCGAGGTCCCTTCCAGCCCTAATGTCTATGAAATCTATGAAATCTAAGATAAGGATAATAGCACTTCCCTGCCACCCAGAGGTGCTGGGAGCAGCAGGACATTTAAGGACGAGGAGGTGCTCAGGCCCTGTGCTGTTGAAGGTCCTATAAGTACCTGGGATAAAAGGAAAGACACCAGCCTCTTCCCTGAAGAGCTTTACAGCCCAAGGCCAAGCCTAGTGATTTTAGGTGCCTCCGTTTTTGGGGGTGTCTGACTTGATTCATCATAAGGAGCCCCGAGTTTCAGAGGGAGG